CGAACATTGTGAGGGAAGGCAGCCCTGCCTGGGATCTGCGGGGCTGGCAGGGAAGTTTTTGGTACTGCTAAAGGCATATATACACACACATACACATATATCTATCTATATCATACACACACATCTTTATATATAGATTTATATGTAGGTGTCTAGTCTATGTTTAAATTATTCTATCTATACACACAGTCCTCCCCTGATGAGGTCATTCTCCCATATATACGAGACTGGGTGCATGGTGCCAGAATCTAACTCCAAGATCTTATCTCTGGCGATCTGAAAGCAATCTAAAGTAAATGTTAGCAGAAGGGGAAATAAATTTTGGAGAGAAACATTCAACAAGGTGTCCCTGAAGCCTTTTCCCCCGCCCTCCCCAGCCGATGTACCCACGCACTTTATGCCAAAGAGAGCCATTTCGGAGCAAGGGACTCCTGCTTCAGAGCAAGGACAGACTGCACCCCGCGTCGTGGATCTCTGCCTGGCTGGGGCTGCACCTTGACAATTTTAATCTCCTATTCCCTTTCCCGAGCCATGCTCTAATGCGCTAATTTGCTGCAGCTTATTTATTTTATTTTTTTCCCCTGTGGCTACAAATGTCTTAATGTTTTTGATTTCAGGAAACTCAAAACGGAAGGAGGGATGCTACTTGAAAGTATGACTCAAAAAAAAAAGGTTTCGCTTTACAGTCATCAGTAGCACCAGGAGACAGCTCCATTAAAAAAGTAGTTTTCCACTGCTCTTGAAAAGCCGTTATTTTTTACATCGCTTTTAGGAAGATAGATTAACAAAACATCACATTTCAAGCCACTCTGATCTGTAATTAAATGGAGGAGCCCGTTTGTATTCTCCTATGGCTTTTACAGAAGTTGCAGTGATCCAAAGTCAGGTTGCTGTGTCAGAGTGGCATTTTTATTAATGAGAATACAAAAAGCTTGCATATTCTTAGCCCGGCTTGAATTTAGTTGCTAAGCAACCGCTGTATGGTAATTCATCCGCGAAATTTAAATCTTGGAGAAAGGATCCTGCGTTTTGCTGAATGGTCGCCACGAGGAAAACAACTTG